CTCGTTCCGTAACACATCATCCCGTGATCAACCCCTTGGTCACATTGTGCACATTATGATGATGTCCTACCGAGTGGGCCCAGAGATACCTCTCCGTTTACACAGAGTGACAAAATCCCAATCTCGATTCGTGCCAACCCAACAGACACTTTCGGAGATACCCGTAGTGTACCTTTATAGCCACCCAGTTACGTTGTGACGTTTGGCACACCCAAAGCACTCCTACGGTATCCGGGAGTTGCACAATCTCATGGTCTAAGGAAATGATACTTGACATTAGAAAAGCTTTAGCATACGAACTACATGATCTTGTGCTAGGCTTAGGATTGGGTCTTGTCCATCACATCATTCTCCTAATGATGTGATCTCGTTATCAACGACATCCAATGTCCATGGGCAGGAAACCGTAACCATCTATTGATCAACGAGCTAGTCAACTAGAGGCTTACTAGGGACATGGTGTTGTCTATGTATCCACACATGTATCTGAGTTTCCCATCAATACAATTCTAGCATGGATAATAAACGATTATCATGAACAAGGAAATATAATAATAATCAATTTATTATTGCCTCTAGGGCATATTTCCAACAGGTGGTCCCGCTAGCAAAGGAGCGGTGGGGTTTTCTTCTCTTGTGCTGTAGTGACATGCAAAAGTCCTCTTCTAGGGCGGCAGCCATTGGCACAAAGGCGGTGGGAAGCATTTTGGCCATGTGGATGGCGGCGGCGAGGATCGGTCTCCTTCTAGAGATCGAGATGGTGGTGGGCCCGCTAGCAGAGGAGCGGTGGGGTTTTCTTCTCTGGTGGTTTAGCGACCCGCAAAAGTCCTCTTCTATGGCGGCATCAATTTGCACACATGCGATGGGCATTGTTTTAGCCATGTGGACAACCGGGGGAAGGGTCAATCTTCTTCCAGAGATTGAGATGGTGGGGTGCCCGCTACCAAAAGATCGGTGGGCTTTTCTTCTCTGGTGGTGTAGCAACATGCAAAAGTCTTCTTCTAGGGCGGCAGGCATTGGCACACAGGTGGGTGGGGCAACTTTTGAGCCATGTGGATGGTGGGGCGTCACGTGATTGTGCCATGGTAGCAACCAGTGTGGACAATAGGGTTGTCGTAGGTGACGCTTCGACTGTGCCGCTCGAGCATGCTATGTCAAACCATTATGTCTTCACACACCGAAACGAATCAATGGATATAGTTAAACGCTTACCATATAGGTTAGGTATGCTCGATAACCATCCCTGTACATTCGTGAAATCTTCCATGCTACACGGAAACAATTTTTGTCGATTTAAGAACCATCACTACAAGTAGTCGTTAACCATGTTAAGATATTTTCTGCACAAAACCGATCTTCTTTGGAAGGACCGTTGGCTACGAGTGAGGTGACACTTTTGTCCAGGCAAGAATGACTTAGTGTCGCGTGACTACACAACGCATGGCAATGATCTGTAACTGTCATTGGTGACTCTTAGTCATGTCGCTAGAGCATGCATGCTACAACCATGTAGTGGTGATTTGTCTTCTCTATTCATCAAGAAGGTACAAACAATTGGATGTCTGATGACATAATTAGATCAGACGCCCACATTGAATTTTTTTACGATCTTGGATGATTGGTGCATGATCCAAAGGAGTTCCGGTGGTGGCATGTAAGGACCATCTCTAGAGGATATCCTGGCGGATTCAGACAAAGTCATGGGTGGTGCAACTCTTTGACGGTCCTCATTCAACATAGTGACTAAAACACCACTTTAGTCTAGGGTGAAAACCCGGGATCTCGCCTTTGTTGGCCAGAGTCCACAACGGCGCACTCGCCTAGCCTGTTGAAGGTTTGGCATGAAAGAATGATGAGGTTTCATAGGTTCTTTTTTCAGCTTTGTCATGGATATGTCATTTGTTATCCACTCCATCTACTCATGATGTTGTAACCTTATTGTTTTGCATGTATCTTCTATATCTAAATAGCTAGCACCCTACCAATAAATTTCTCTTAACATGCACACATGGTATCTCAGCATTGAAACATGCATGAAAAATGCCCACCTCAACATGTAAATATGTAGTCACTTCGGTGGCATCCGATAAAAACAAGGAAATATGCACGAGAAAAGACTAAACTCAACAATTAAATATTGTAAATCATATGTATTTCAAACTGCAGTTCTTATATTTTAATTTGAAATTGATATTTCCTACTACTAAATCTAATCAAAACATGCCGTATTTGAATTTTCACTTCTTATATTACTAACTCAATAGTTAAACATATTAAATCATGTGTATTTCAAAATTTAGTTCTTGTATCATCAATTTAAAATCCCATTTCATAGTATTAAATTAATTTAGAAGTTCTGTTCCACACAACTAAGTCGAATCAAAATACATTTCAACCAATCTTCGCTGACGCGCGGGGTGTCATCTAGTTTGTAACAAAACCATATAGATAAATGTGGGCATCTCCGAATGCAAAAAGGCAGGGCCAGGAGGTTTGTACATTCGCGTAAGTGTTACTAGTACAGTACGGTGACCGCTACATGCTCCTCAACAACGGCAATGCACCACTCTTACACGTACTCCCTCCGTTCCATATTACTCGTCGTAAAAATGGATATATGTAGAACTAAAATACATCTAGATACATTCATACATGCGACAAGTAATTTAGAATGGAGGAAGTATAAGACACATACGTCGCAACCGCAATGCACCACTCTTACACGTACTTCCTCCGTTCCAAATTACTCGTCGCAGAAATAGATGTATCTAAAACTAAAATACATCTAGATACATTCATACCTGCGACAAGTAATTCAGAATGGAGGGAGTATAAGACACGTACGTCGGCACCGTGGGTGCGGCGTAGGTACATTACATACGTGCGCCTTGTGACAATGCGTCCCATCTAGTCACTCCGATCTGATCTGATCTGATCTGATCCCCTCCTGTCCAGCCTAGAAGAAGAGCCCTGCAAGCCACACTCGCCAGACGAGATCGAGATGCATACAATCAGCGGTCCGCACCGTATACGTAGGCATGTCTTGTACACATAGCGATGCCACCAAATCCCGGCCGCCCCGTCTCCCCATGCAACCACAGTTGGACCGCACATGGCGTATTGCATCCATCGATACCCCGCCCCACGTCCCCACCTCACGCAGTCACGCCTTCCGCCCCTCTCCTCTCCGATCTCGAACGCGGATGGTAGACGCCGAGCCAAACTGCACCAGAAATCCGCTGCTGCTGCGCCCCCTCCCCCTCCCCCCGTCTCATAAATAAATGCA